ATAGATTATACATTTGAAATATTTACTGTGAAAAACACAAGCTAAAAAGAAAACACATGTACATTTATAGTGTGTTTAATGAATTCATTGATTTACTTTATTTTCGGCTTAGTCCCTTTATTAATTAGAGGTCACCACAGCGGAATGAACTGCCAACTTATCTAGCATATGTTTTCGCAGCAGATCCCCTTACAGCTGCAACCCATCACTGGGAAACATCCATACACACTCATTCACACACATACACCATGGACATTTGAGCTCCCCAGTTCACCTGTACCGCATGCCTTTGGACTGTGGGGGAAAAGAGCACCTGAATGAAACCCACACAATCACAGGGTGAACATGCAAACTCCCACAGAAATGCCAACTGACACAGCAGAGGCTTGAACCAGCAACCTTCTTGTTGTGAGGCGATCGTGCTACCCACTGCGCCATTGTAGCCCATGCGTTTGTTCATTTATTCATTCATTTTCTTTTTGGCTTAGTCCCTTTATTAATCTGCAGTCGCCATAGCGGAATAAACCGCCAACAAGCGTTTTTACGCAGCGGATCCCCTTCCGGCTGCAACCCATCACTGGGAAAGCCATGCGTTTAATGCATTTAAAATCAAAAAGAATACTGTAATAACACTTAAAGTCTGAAATCATAGGTTTTTTATATGTTAGTATCAGTATGCAACTTTTAGGAATGTCTATAAACTAGTGTGCTTCAAAAAAGTGACGAAATTCACATTAAAAACATAAAAACATCTGAAGCATTCAGTTAATCACTTCCGCCAAAAATAAATCAACAATTTTTTTTGACATCATCTCATACTGCCTACTCTTATCAAATTTTCTGATCAATCAAATGCTCTCTAGTATCTGACATGTCCCGCCCCCTTCAAGAAACTATTGCTATATGAGCTCAACCACTCACATTGGCAAAGCCGTGATTAAAACTAACTTTAATTGGCTTTTTTTTTTTTTAAGAGAAAGAGAGCTACTTTATTACTGCCCAGTCTTTATTTTCAGTTTAAATTCATCACAAATGAACAAAAATGCACATTTCAAAGCATTTCACGGGACATTTAAATGACTATTTGTAACATACTAAATAATTTACAGTTTAAAATTGTTCATAGGTCTCTGCAAGACAGTACACAGTTACACAGTATCTAATTTGTGGGATGAGTTTTATTTGTGTATTGCTAAACAAAAGTTTGTAGTCTCATTTTAGTGTTTAGAGTCTGTGTTTTAAGTATTTTGCTTTTTTATTGTGAAGGGTTGTATTTAATAATGAATATATACAGTGTAATATAGCCTTCTGTTTGATGTTTATGCCATTTAATCAGTTAATAAAACATAAAGGAATGAGCTATAAAATCCCCAATATCTCACTATATAAAGTGCTCAGCATATGTGTACACCCCTCACAAATAAATGAATCTTTTTATCAGAAAGCTATACAATATTATATTTGTGCATATACATTAGATTAGTCAGTGCTGAAGCCAAACCTGGAGCTTATCTAACAAAACAACTTACGATAATGCTCCAAAAACTAGCACACCCAAATTTATATGTTATATAAAAATATTAAATACAAAATTTAAAAAAAGAGTAAAAATCAAGAGAAGCAAAAAAATAAAATAAAATAAATAAAATAAATAAATAAAAAAAATAGAAAAATTAAGTTGAAATTTTGCAAGCTTTAATTTTTTTAAAATAATTTTTAGCTTGAATTTAATTGTATTATTCAATTTTAAATATGTTTGGTGACTAAAACATTATTTTAATAACTATTTCAGTTTAATAAATCTGTTTTGTTTAAATGCACCAAAATACATTGAATATATTCACTGAGAAATGGAGATAAATATTCATTTTCAAAATGGGGTGTACTCGATTACACTGAGCACTGTATACAGTATCTCAGTTTGGAGATGAGTTTTATTTGTATATTGTTAAGTAAATGTTTGTAGCATTATTTTAATGTTCAGTGTCTAGGTATTCTACTTTTTTATTAGGAAATGTTTTTTTTAATGCAGTATTAATATAGCCTTCAATTTGATGTCTGTGGTATTTTATCAGTTAATAAAACGTTAAAGCATGAGAAATAATCCCCAAGATGTCACTATACAGTATGTACACTGCTTATTCAATAATATTTAGTGTAAAACTGTGTTACTCAGAAATAGATACATTTTGCAAAAAAATAAGAAAAGTAATAGATTGAATGAATAAAAAAGTGAAGTAGACAAAAATAATTTTTACTTTCTAAAACATATGACCTTGTTTTGTTTTATTAAACAATTTTTAACAAAAAAAAAAGACTCTTAAGGGAAAAAAATACTCTTTTATTATTTACTTTGGCGATTCTGTCTTGTCTCACTTAACAGGTTATGACTTATAAATAAGTTTCGCAAAAGGTTTTTAAAAAAGACTAAAGTGATGGTAATTGCAGCTTGAAATTTGGTTCCAGAACAAACATTTCAATTACAAAAGAAATGTATGAAAATGTATAAAGTTGCATCATGCATGCATATAATAATAATTATAAAATAACAAAAATGTTTTGTTTTTTTTATTTAAAATAAAGGTTACAACTCCCTCACCCTAAACAAATCTATTTTAATTAAATATTTAAACAAATAATACATTTCTGTATTTTAATAAACTGATATTTAAATGAATTCAATTTCTGCATTTTATATTTAATGAGTTTCACAATATTTGTTTCATCAAAGTAAATGATTTTGCATATTGCAGGTCAAGATATGGTTCCAGAACAAGCGTTCCAAGTACAAAAAGATCATGAAACATGGCTCAAGTGGACCTGAAGGAGAACACCTTCAAGCAGCGTCTGCTTCAGGAGCCCCATGTTCACCAGGCATGCCACCCCTATGGGATGTTTCCATGCCCAGCAAAGGTGCTCCCATCCACTCTGGAGGATATATGAACTCTTTCGGACACTGGTACTCGGGTCATCATCAAGACCCAATGGCCAGAACTCAGATGATGTGATGGGACGTTTAGAACAATCTACAGTGTTTCCACGTCCCATCTACTGATTCCAGCAGTTCACACCAGCACTCTTTAGCACTGCGTACTCCGCCAAACATCCTTCCCAGTATTTTCCTCATAAAGATTTACATTGCTGACATTTTGGTTTATTTGCTTGCAGGTTTTTGTGGTGGATTTAAAAAAAAAAGACTGAATAAACAGCCTAACCTGAACTTGGATTTTTGTATGTTCTTGTAAATTTGAATAAAATGCCTTTGTCTGATTGTCATAAATGTCTATTTAATATTTTAATATCCTCAGTTCTCTCTCTGAAATATTTATCGGTCTGTTGCATGATATTTTTCTTTGGTTTAAAGAAAACAGCAGTGTTGAATTTTGCTTTGTTTTTCAATGTTTTCAGTTTGACCCGTTCATTAATATACACTTGAATGTGCTGAGGATGTATTTGTCTAGAGCATTAATTGGCAAAACTTTACAAAAAGGTTTACTTGTTAGTATTAACTGAATAGATTAAAGCAGTTTAAAAATTCTACAGCATTTATTAATCTTAAAGTTAATTTCAACATTCATTAATACTATAAACACCAAAAGAAATAGTTGGTTAATGTGCCATGAGCGAGCTAACATAAACATTTTTATTAACATGAACACATTTTATGAACATATCTCACACATCATAAATTCACAAATCAACATCAAATGTTAACAAATAAGACCTTATTTTAGGATTTTACCAATACTAATTTTTACATGTTTGACTGATTAATCTTGGTACATCAGAAAGGTAATCCAAAGTGTTTTTTGTTTGTTTGTTTGTTTGTTTTAATTTATGCACAGCCCTAAGTATGCCTGTTGAACCACATTTAAAAAAAAATTAAAATGATTGCCAATCTTGGCCAACCATGTTCATTTGTTTTGGGTTGTTTGGACTTTTCACAACCAGCAAAAAGCTTCAGAGATTGAGCGAGGCTGGATAGACCTTCCCAAGGTGTTTTTAATTAGTTAAATAAAATCATTTGAATAAATAATTTTAAAAAATGAAAAAATTGTTGTATGCAAAACAATAATAAACAGCATTAACAATTCTAAAATACATCAACAAAAATATGTTTAGCAAAAATGTTCAGGACATTATAATAAACTAAAACTATTTTTGTTAAATGTTAATTTATGTGAAAATGTGAATATTAATAATAGTAGTATATGTAATATAATATATAGTTCAAGTTCATTTATTTATAAAGCACACTTAAAAACAGTCACAGAACTGACCAAAGTGCTGTACATAAATCAAAGTAAAATAAAAAGACAGAATATAAAAACAAAAATAAGCCAAGAGTAGCGACTGAATAGATTTAAACATGAAGCAATAGAAAAGACTATTAAAATAATATTTAAAAAGCCAAGCTAAATAGGTACATTTTTAGGAGTGATTTAAAAATAGACAGTGATGGAGCCATTCTAATCTCAAGGGGCAAAATGTTCCATAACCGAGGACCTGCCACAGCAAAAGCTGTCCCCTCTATTAAATATATGATATTTTATTTATATTTATTTACAATTATTAAATTGAAAATACTACCAAAATGAAATTACTAACCCTAACTACAACAGCATCTTAGACATACTAAAACAATTGGTGGGGAACAGCTTGTCACAAAAGTTTAAAATTGTCACCTTATAGTCTATATTCCATCACATCAAGTCTCTTCCTCAAAAAACAATACTGTCTGATGCCACCTAGTGGTTTAAAACTCAAACTCAATGCAGTAGGTGTTTGAAACTCTCTCTAATACTAACAAGCAAAAACAACTAGCAGATTGATGTAAACAGCCTTAATATTATGCTCAACTGGACACTGACCGCTGGACTGAAACAACACAACTTTATATAATCCTCCAGATAACAAAACAATGAAGATAAATCTGGATTACAGAAAATCCCTCCATGAAGCCTGAAGAACAACACTTTTTATCTGATAAGCTGTTTAACATGACGAGTTATGAAGTGTCTGTTCAACAGCTCAATGATCTGCTGACCGATGAAAATGGAGACTTCTGCATGCCTTCTAAACCTTTTCATGAAGTCTATCCTGGGATACTGCTAGGAAATGAGTAAGTCATCACTACAGCCTCCAGATATGTGGTGGGTGGATAATTATCTTCTTTTCTCACCATTAATTATAAGAATTATAGCAGCAAACATTTACATTTCGCAATCGTGTGTTTAGCCTTTGCTATCTGATAGTTAGGATTCAAAACACGCTCGAGTATCCTGTTGCAAATTCTCTAAGGACAAGCCTTTAAATAAACATGGCCTATTTATTTCCATGCACGAAGGACGCCCTCTGATGCTGGAAACACTCTCAAAACACTCACTGACAGAGGGAGAAAGATCATGTCTGCAAATGGGGCTGTTTTAATGGAGAGGTTCGATCAGTTTTGAACTTGGAGTTGATTTACCTTGAGATGGAAAACTCTGAAAAGCTGATTTGAGTTAGTTCATTAAACTCTGAGTAGGTTGACTCTTAGTTAAGTGTAAGCCCTATGGCTGTACGAAGACATAATCAATGGAGTTGAATGGATATGATGATTCACCATAGCAAATGGATGAAAAAGAAGTCAGCATATTCTTCTCGCAATACGTGTGTAAATGCACCGTATAGAACAATTATTAAAGAGACAGACAGACAGACAGACAGACAGATTAATGGTTGGATAGATAGATAAATAAATATACAAACTGAACAATTTTTGAAAATTCTATAAATTTTACAATAAAGATATACATAACATTTTGTAAATACATATTACTGTATTTTCTGTAATTGATTTACAGTGAAAGTATTCATAGCACTTCACTTTTCCCACATTTTTTATGTTACAGCTTTATTCCAAAATGGATTAAATTTATTTATTTCCTCAAAAGTCCTCACACTATACCCCATAATGAAATTGTGAAAAAAGATTTTTTTAAATTGTTGCAAATTTATTAAAAATAAAAAACCTGAAAAATCACAAAGACATAAGTCTTCACAGCCTTTGTTCAATAGTTTGTTGATGCAACTTTGGCAGCAATTACAGCCTCAAGTCTTTTTGAATATGATGCCACAAGCTTGGCACACCTGTCTTCAGAACTCTTGCCCATTCCTCTTAGAGAAATGACAGCGTACAGCCATTTTCAGATCTCTCCACAGATGTTCAATAGGATTTACATTTGGGCTCTGGCTGGGCCACTCAAGGACATTCACCGAGTTGTTGTGAAGCCACTCCATTAATATTTTGGCAGTGTGCTTTGGGTCATTGTCCTGCTGGAAGATCAACCGTTGCTCCAGTCTGAGGTCAAGTGCACTCTGAAGCAGGTTTTTATTCAGGATGTCTCTGTACATTGCTGCATTCATTTTTCCCTCTATCCTGACTAGTCTCCCAGTTCCTGCTGCTGAAAAACATCCTCACAGCATGATGCTGCCACCACCATGCTTCACTGTAAGGATGGTAATAGCCTGAACTAAATTTACCAAAGGTGAACTCCATTGAAGCTGCTGAAACATCTCAAAAATTATCGGTGGAAACAGAACGTACCTGAGCTCTATTGAAAGCTTCACAGCAAAGGCTGTGAATACTTATTTACATGTGATTTTTCAGTTTTTTATTTATAATAAATTTGCAACAATTTCAAAAAAGAATGAATTTTCAGACTTGCAGGGCTAGACACTGAGGATTTTTTGAACGCCCAGCAGAAAAAATTTTTAATTAGTTATTTCTAAGCCACGTATTTTAAATAATGTGTCAAAACAAGCAGCCCTTAGTTGTATACATATTGCATACATTTTTGTTCAACACAACTAAAAAAAAACTATTTGAAAGCTAAATGTTTGCAGTTGTCTACAGTTATAATTTAAGTTAGGAGTAGTTTTGCTTAAAAGTTTATTGAGATGTGTTGTTGGTAATTGGATGTGTTTTGGATCGATTGGGATCGACCTGTTTAAAATTATTTAACCTACAAAATAACATTTCAGTGAATTTAAGACTTTTTTTATGGGCTAAAGGTGTGTTTTTGAAGTTTAAGACATTTTAAGACCCCGCTGATACCCTGTATAAGAAATAAGACATTTTCCTGAAGAAAAAAATATAGGAAATACTGAAAATTTCCTTGCTCTGTTAAACATCACTTTAGAAATCCAAAGTATTGGTTAAATATTAAAGTCTATCCAATCTATGTCAGATTTGCCTTTATTTTATTATTATTATTATTTTTTTTGGAAAATGTAAACTAAATACATTGTAAATAATTTGTGTTTATTTACCAGCTCTAGATGGTAGTGGTGGTTGGTTGCTGAAATATCTCAGACTATTCATCAATCCAGTAACACTTACAAATGAACAGCCTGCTCATCTCCAGAATCCTATATAATAAAAGATATGCAGTTGTAGTCAGTTGGATGGTCTGAAAATGTTCAGGGCTGAACTACTGAATATTGAGTTTTTACTAAACCTTGTGTCTGCATCTCAACAGGTCTGCAGCCACAAATGTGACCCGTTTGCTGGAACTAGGAGTGACACACATCCTCAACGCTGCTGAAGGCCAATCAGACATGCATGTGAACACAGATGCAGAGTACTATGCAGATACAGGGATCATCTATCATGGGATACCAGCCTTCGACACTGACCATTTTGACCTCAGCATATATTTTGAAGAAGCTTCTGATTTTATTCAAAGAGCTTTGGAAATGAAAGGTGGGAATAAGATGTACTTTTAAAGACACCGTCATCATTCAGTGGCATTGGTTTACATTAAAGTTTGATTCTCATTATATACATATATATATATATAAATATATATATATATATATATATATATATATATATATATATATATATATATATTAATGAACGCTAGTATACTGTAGTTAACTATAGTGAACTGATAAACGTCAATAAATATTAAACGTCAATAAATATTGTAGTATACTCTAGTTTTTACAACAGCACACAGCTGGGGTGTGTTGTGGTAGTTATATACCCACTAACTTAGTTGTAGAAAAAAAAACCAATACTAGGTCATTTGTTTTTTTATTGTTGTTGTGTTACCATAGCAATAGAATTATCACAAAAGATTAATTCAAGCATTTTACATTATTAGGGATCACTATTGATTACAATTGTATTTTATCCTAACGTTAAATAAAATGTGCTTCAAATCTCGTAAAATGAATTCCAAATGTCATTAAAACTGTATCCTTCTTTCAAATAGTAGGCTAAAACAATAAACGTTTTTACATAGGAACCGATAATTTATCAGTATGGCTAGGCTAGACTTAGTAGCATATTTACATGTTAACGAAAATGGCATTTCATTACCAGTTTTTGTAACGTGACTTACAGAAACAGTACCTTCAAACTATTAATATTGTCAATAAAAGTCAGTTGTGTTAAACTAAAGTTAAAATCTAAAGTTACATTCGGCTACTTACCACTGAAACCAGTGACAGCTTAATGTTCAAAGACCCATAATTCCATTCGAATTCGTAAGCGTAAACAAACGCTGAAACACCCGATAATCGATGAAAGATTTGGATTTATATTACAAAAAATAAACAATATTTTAAATAATATTTAATATTAATAAAAACTGGTTAAATATTTTTTATATATATAATTTTGTTGTCAATAACAGAAATTTCATAATTTCATAAAGGAACAAGTAGAGATTTTGTGTAAATCAGTTTGTGTGTGTGTGTGTGTGTGTGTGTGTGTGGGGGGGGGTTAATGAACATACAAACATAAACAAAAGCCCCTTTCACACAGTGATACCGGTAAATATCCGGAAAATTTCCGGAAAGACTTTACCGGTATATTGAAAAAAGCGCTGTTCACACAGGCGAGGACGTTACGGAAATTTTCCGGAAAAGAGCGTTCACACATCCATTCCAAAATACCGGTAAATTCTGACATCATTCACCACAAATGAGCTTTGAACGGCTGCGCTTCTGTTTGTAAACATTTGACTAAATTACAAACTCTGTGGATGATCAATATTGTGAACAACTTTCTCAGGATCACTTTCGCATGTCGAGATGTTCATAATATGTACGTGTGCTGGCGCTCACAGGCTGTTTCACAGGCACACGAACGTAAACAAACAACGGCTTATCATAAGCATCTCATTGATGATTATTTACACAGTTGGCATTATGAAGAACATATAAACGTGATCTGACTAACTTCTAGCAGCTAAATGTGTCTGGAAAAATATTCAAAGGCTTTTATCCTCACAAACCGAGCGGACGTAAATGCGTCTGACTGTTGTGATTGGCTAAAGCAGACGTCTCACGTCAGCACGTTCTAGACGTGCACGCGCTTATTACGGGAATCTTCCTTCTGCGTTCACACAGCGCAGCATTCCGGCAAATTGCCGGTAATGTTACAACTTCTCTTTCCGGAAAATAGCCAGAACGAATTTACCGGTATTTTCAAAAAGGACCTGTTCACACATACAACCTTTCCGGAAAATTGCCGGCAATTTTCCGGAAAGGTCTGTATGTGTGAAAGGGGCTAAAGACAAAGGCAAGGCTAAGTATAGCAGCAAAAGTCAAAGAGAAAAAAATCGACAATTAAACAAAAAATAATAAGAAATAAATAAATGAACATACAAACAGAATACAAAAACCATACACAAATAAAGTTTAAATCTGTTTTTTTTTTTTTAATGAAAAATTGAAACTAATTGAAAAAGGTTGTTTAGTCCCACAGTTAACAAAAGTGACCCAAGACAGGCGAATGCCACTTATTGGCGTAATTAGTGTAAACGAATGTAAAATGAATGTAAAAGTCATTAAAACCGTGAACGTTTGTTATTTTTCTGTGTAGGGAAAGTGTATGTCCACTGTCAAAAAGGCTACAGTCGTTCAGCTGCTCTGGTCATCGCTCATCTGATGTTGCAGCACAACATGGACGTGCGAGCTGCAGTGGCCACAGTCAGAGAGAAACGAGAAATCGGGCCCAATGATGGATTCCTGCGCCAGCTCTGCCAGCTCAACGACAGGCTGTATGATTAAAACCTAAATAAATCTGTGCTTTCATCATGTACATGTCAGCAATAAGTAAACCATGAACATTCCTGTCTAAAAAATATTTTCTGGTGCTAATTTGTAATAATAATTGTGTTCTGCACCTGAAAAGTATATCCTGCCCTCTAGTGGTAAAAGCTAATCAAAACGTTCATGCAGTACACAATGGTTAGGTACAGAATAAGCAGACTGCATTTTGTTACACTATACAGTCAAGTGTGTGTGTGTGTGTGTGTGTGTGTGTGTGTGTGTGTGTGTGTGTGTGTGTGTGTGTGTGTATTGGTTTGATTGACTACAAAAAGTTGCCCATGAACTTCTAAAAATACTTCACTTTAGCAGAGAAAAACAAATTCAACCATTTTAATACAATTAATATGATTTTATTGACATAATGAAGAAATACGTTCACAACATTTCACAAGTGGCAATAGTTCAAGCATTTGACAAGTGACATTAAATGACAACTGTTCATTAATTAAGTTCATACAAAGAGTAATACTTGTTGTGTTGTTTCTTCTTTCTGTCTTGCTGTCAATTAAGTTCTGGGTCACATCCTTTCCGATAGAGCCCATTCTTGCATTATCAATGCTTTAAATAATCAGAACTTGGGCTTTTGTTAGTCCAGAAACGTCCTCACTCCTCTTGAAGAATGTCCAAAAGATTTCAAAGGAGTTCAGGTCTGGATAATTCAATTCCCCACATTTAATGGTCCTGCCCCTTCCAATGTTTTGTTCCCTGAACCACAAAGTTATCACTTAAGTCGTATGGCAAAGCGCTCCATCATGCTGGAATAAGGTTTCATCGTCGGACTGTTCTTTAATGGTTGGAAGCAGTTGTTTTCCATCTAGTCCATTCCACCTCTACAGCATGTCCAGGGTGCATATACCTTTCTGGTGCAGGGTCCATATGAGCAGGGTTCACTGCACACTTTTACAACTAAAATGTCAGGACTTTTCTAAAACTTTCACATAAATGTTCATGGCCTAATGTTTCGTGTAATGTTTATGTTAATAACAATGACTGTAAAAAAATAATAATAAGAAGAAAATAACATTCAAATTTATTACAGTATATTAAGAAATGTGATAATCTATGTAGTTTACTTTTTTAAATGCTTTTGTAAAATTTATTTAGATAATGCTTACACAGCAGCACTAATTATAGTTTAACAATGCTTTAATGACAATAAAACATGATAAATAATGAATTAAATTAGTAATAAAAACTTTAAATTTAGGCATAAGTAAAAACGGGAAGGAGGATAAATACTGACTATTTCTAAAAATAAATGTATCTATTTTACTCAAATCTGTCAAGAAAGTTTAGTTTTATTTAAAAAAAAAATATTAGTAGTATTTAAATGAATAGGTTAACTGCATATGAACTTGACATGAGTGATAATTACTTCTGCTAGTACAATCTCCTAGATGACGCCACTCACTTGTGAAGAGTATTGACTGGTGCAGAGCTGAGAATTATTTGTTTTTTCATTTTTTTTTTATTTAACATTATCAATTCACAAACTCAAATGGGGAACATTAAGGGCATATTAAAACATAAACACACTTCCAATCACATTTGCATCATAGAAGGAAAAATCCCTGTGTCTATGTATATATATATATATATACACACATTTTAATACATATCAAAATAAGGTTTAGGGGGTTACAAAAAAACAAAAAATTCAATATCAAAACATGAATTCATTTTTTATAGCAATTAATCATGGTAAAGCACTGGTATAAAATTGAAATATTGATTGATTCTCCTAATTAGATTACAAAGTCTGGATCCTGTAGGCTCCTCTGCTCCCACCCACCACCCACCGCAGAGGGGCTCATTTGCAGACTTTACCAACCCACACCGCCTATTATTACTAGTATAAATTATTATCATGTTTTACTGGCGATTGCGAATACACTCTCTCTTTCAGACACACACACACACACACTCTGGAGCTACTGTAGAGCTGTGCTGTAGAGTCTCAAGAATAATACATTTACAAAATAAAATTCATACATCCACCACACATTCATTCATTCATTCATTTTCTGCCGCTTTTTCGGGACCAGGTCGAAGGGCAGCATTCTCACGAGAGAACCCACAGAGACTTCCCTCTCCCCAGACACTTCCTCTAGCTCCACCGGGGGGATCCCGAGGCGTTCTCAGGCCAGCCAAGAGACATAGTCCCTCCAGCGTGTCCTGGGTCTTCCCCGAGGCCTCCTCCTTGTGGGACATGCCTGGAATACCTCCCTAGGTAGGCGTCCAGGAGGCATCCGAAACAGATGCCAGAGCCACCTCAGCTGACTTCTCTCGATGTGGAGGAGCAGCGGCTCTACTCCGAGCTCCTCCCGAGTGTCAAAGCTCTTCACCCTAGCCATAAGAGTGCGCCCTGCCACCCTTTAAAGGAAACTCATTTCGGCCTCTTGTGTCCGAGATCTTGTCCTTTCGGTCATGATCCAAAGCTCATGACCATAGGTGAGATTAGGAACGTAGATTGACCAGTAAATCAAAAGCTTTCGGCTCAGCTCCTTCTTCACCACAACAGTCAATTTACCACACAATTCACATTTAAAAAATCCAATTCGTCAATTAAAAACATGATTTATAAACACACTAATCCAATTCATTTGTTGGAAATATTTACGATTTTATATTGTGAATTCACAAACTGTATTTTTCTTTTGAAAATGTATTATTTTTCTGTTTTTTTTATTTTAGATAACATTTTTAGGTTATGTTGCTTAAAATAATGGAATGGTGGTAAAGCACTGATATAAAAGTTATCAATTAATTGATTCTACTGATTGAATTATAAAGTCTGGACACTATTGGCCCCCTCTGCACCCACCGCAAAGGGGCTCATTTGCAGACATCACAAACTCCAACCTCCTTATTATTATTAAATATTCCCTATTTTCCCTAATTTTCATGACCCTATCATCTGACAACATGGAAAAACTCTATCTGTATCTAATAAAAAGTGTGGCCGAATTTAGTGCATATTTCCGACAAGCAAGCACATATCATTTTTGGTAAAAGCTCTGGAAAATCTGACAGGGTGATCACATTTACTGAGAGATACTAGCAAAGCACAGTGAGTATCTATGAGGGATGCTCTATTCTCACACACTTTCCTTCGGTTATAGTCCTTGCATTACCAGGTCTCGCCACGACGAATTAACTGCTAATTACTCTGGCATATGTTTTACCAGCGATTGTGAATACACTCTCTCAAACACACACAATGCATCTTTTGGAGAATTCAGATCAGCCACACTCCAAAAAGTCCACAGAAAAAAACCTCCTGGCCTAACCAGGACTCAAAGACCTTCTTGAGTGCTCACCGAGTGCCATCCTGAATGCCTCATTCGTGTAACCTATTTAATGCTTGTTACTAGCCTACATGGGGTAACACTTTGCAATAACAGTGCATGATTAATGATGTACTAGTATGTAAACTAAACATTACTTTATCATGAGCTAATGATGAGTTAGGACCTGCACTGATCATGAACCAACTACAATGAGTAACGTGAGTTCATGCGTGAATGATGGCTAACAGAATTACTTGTTGGTTCAAATTTGTTATTGTATTCATATACATTTTACTTTTAGATAAATGTAACTAACATGAACACATGACCTTTTAAAGCATCTTTCTGGCTAGATCACAACATCTATTTTTGTGGTACGATATATATCAACAAGGTATTTGCACAAACAGAACTGCCTCTCACCGGATATTTTCTCTTTTTCAAAACCATTCTCTGTAAACCCTAGAGATAGTTGTGCGTGAAAATCCCAGTAGATCAGCAGTTTCTGAAATGCTCAGAGCAGCCTGTCTGGCATTAACAACCATGCCAACCTGATGCTCGGTTTGAACTGCAGCAGATCGTCTTGACCATGTCTACATGCCTAAATGCATTGAGTTGCTGCCATGTGACTGGCTGATAAGAAATTTGTGTTAACAGGCAGTTGAACAGGTGTACCTAATAAAGTGGCCAGTGAGAGTATATATTTATCAAATAAATAGCATGAATACATAAATAATTTCTAACCTTCAGCTTCGGCCCTTTAGAACAACATGTGTTTTTAATTTTAATTTTATTTACCATCATGTTAGCATCTAAAAGAACACCAGTCAACCTGATCTGTTACCAGAGATTTCCAAATACTTCGTCAGAAAGAAAAGTGTGTTAATATGCTCAGTGCATGAGGTGGTGCTTGGCATTTTTTCTCAGAAGCCACATAAAAGACGTTGTAAGATCAAATCAGCTTTAATTAATGAAGCCCCTGGATTGAGTAGGTTGGGGTTCCAAGTAGTCTAAAGATCAAGAAAGAGCAGATTTATTTGATTACTTCACTCACCCTCAGTCCATCAAGATCTAGGGGATGTTTTTGAGGGGTCGCCATTGACTTGCATTATGCATCACCAAGGACCACTAAAAGTCTTCAACTTCTTGAATAAATTCCCTTAAAATAACCACATAATCAAACACAAGAGGTCTTCGGTTCACAAGAAACAGCAACAATCATTTATTAAACATTTTTTTAAAGTGAAAAGTAGCACACATACCTGAGTTACTCTGAAACCCCTCCCACATTTTCTGCTCTCGTCTGATCCGTACTCAACATATTTATAATATATTGTGATTGTATGGCTGCAAATACATTTTTTTACTTGGTTCCTGCATCTGAAAATATGAGCTTTGTTAAATTCATAGCTACATGCAAATATACCAGCTGTAAGCAAACATATATTCAAAAATATATCGCTTTTTTCACAAACCACAGTCACTGATGCTCTGTAGTTTGAGAATCAATTGAATCTTTCTTCAAAAACATTAAATATATATAAAAAGAAAAGAAAAGAAAGGAAGAAAAGAAAACAGTCTGCTTTGCATCCACTTAACAGAGGCATTATGGGGGAAAGACCACAGGTCTTTCACATCCATTACAGTTTTGAACTATAACAGCAGGAG